ATAATTTAAATTAGCATTTGGCATTATACCAATTAATTTTATAAAAGGGTGGAAGAGAGCTGAAGCAAAGTTTGAGAACTGAATCAAGAATATATTTTGTAGAGTATTTTAGTGTAGTAGTAGAGGGTAGGCTCAGTATTGATGACTCAATTCTGGGGCTTCTAGCACTTGGCTGTTTTTTTTTTTTTGATGTAGTATGGGAGAGCAGGAAATAAATGATCTGAATCAGAATGCCTTTCTGTATTTGTCACTTCCTATTTTTGTTTCCCTGAGGTAAGTTGAGGAGTGAAACTCATTATGGAGGAGACTTTGGAAAATCTTGAAGACACCAAAGATTCACAATGCCAAACAACAGAATCTGGATCCAATTTATTTTACTTTAGGCATAGAACCATGAACGGTATTGAGATACCTCATCAGAGCACCCTAACAAGTTTTCTTATATCGACATTCTTCCTACTAGGTCCATCACTCCTCTGCTCAAAACCTATCAGTAACTCCCTATAGCCAACCAAGAGTTCAAACACTACAACAAAGTCCTGCACAGTTATACACTGCCTTTCCTTTGCACCCTTTTCTTAGGAGAGGCAGTATTGTATTGTGGAAAGAATGTTGGATTTACAGAGAGAAGCCTCGGGTTCAAATTGTACTGTACCACTCATCATCTGAGTGACCTTGGGAAGATCACTGTGGGCTTCAGTTGAACACCCGGTTCTTTGGACAAGCATCTTAACTTCTCAATAGTGTCATCAAAAAATAGGGGTTTGGATTAGATAACCATCAAGTTCTTCATCCCTCTAAATCTACTAGAATCACTTCTCCTGTATCATTGTACATTGTAATTCCTGTGGTGCCAATTCTCCTACTACACTGTTAGCTCTTGGATGACACAAGCCTTATCTTATCTAAATTTGTGCTGCCTTAGCAGGGTACCCAGAGGGCACCCAATCAACATTTTTGGATTTGAATTGTGGAGAATTCCATAGACTATATTGAATAGGATTTTGTGGGTAGGAAAGTTTAGGTCAGTGGTTCTCAAAGTGTGGTCTGGGGAGCCCTGGGAGATGCTTGAGACCCTTTCAGGGCATCTGAGAGGTCAAAGCTACTTTTGTAATAATACTAAGATGTTTTAATTTATATTATGATAAATATTGATAGGTATAACTCACAAAAACAAAAGTTCTTTGGGATCTTCAACAATTTTTAATAGTGCAAAGGGGTCTTGATGTCAAAAAAGTCTGAGAACTGCTCATCTGGAGTGTTCTATTTGAACAGGAGAAAGCCAGCAATAATGGACCTTTTTCACAATCCACCACCCAAATTTTCTTTACCAGGGACTTTTTCCTATTTTTTTCAGGGATATGTGGAGGCTTGAAAGCAGATGTAAGAGTTAAAAAAGAAAACAACCTGCTGAGGGGAAAGAAAATGGAATCTGTAATGTGGCTTTAAGTGAGTACCTACATTTTAGACTCTGATGTCTTTGGTGAAAGTAATATCAACCCTAGTTTGGAGGATAGCTTTTGAAAGTCCCTTGAGAGGAAGATAGTTTTACATTAGGGGAGAATCCAAGGATTCATTGCAAAGGGCTCATTGCCATTCTGATCTTTATGCCAAGATGGATGACTTTGCACATGAGTTTGAGACTTGCATTGAAGAGACATCTTTGAAAAAAGTAAGGCTTTTCCATTAAAAATTTTAGTTATTTTTTTTTATTCTTTGAAAATATTTATAAAACAAATTAGTTTGGGGCAAACTAAAATAAACAATTTAATGAAGCTGAAAAGTCATGTGAGGAAGTAAACAAGAGGTGTCTCCCATTGAAAATGAAATAAACAACAGTGTCATGAGTCCTGGGCAGTGCCCCCCCCCCCCGGAGGGTATATAAGGGCTGCCCTGCAGAAAGAGAGAATCAGATTTCACCTACCTCTTCTGAGTCCTCTCTCCCCTCACCTCACCTGAACCCTCTGTACTGACACTATGGGTTGCTGTGGCTGTGGTGGCTGTGGTGGCTGCGGTGGCTGTGGCAGTGGCTGTGGTGGCTGTGGTGGCTGCGGTGGCTGTGGCGGCTGTGGCTGTGGCTGTGGCTGCTGTGGTGGCTGTGGCGGTGGCTGCTGTGGTGGCTGTACCACCTGTACCTGCCGCCGTGTGGGCTGCTGCTCTTCCTGCTGCCCCTGCTGCTGTGGCTGCTGTGGAGGCTGCTGCAGCCCCACGGTTGTCTGCTGCCGTCGCACCTGCTGCTCTGGCTCCTGTGGCTCCTGTGGCTGTGGCAAGGGCTGTTGTCAACAGAAATGCTGCTGCCAACAGTGCTGCTGCAAAAAGCAATGCTGCTGTTAGAGGGGGGTGATCAGGACCTGGCCTCCCAGAACAAGCTGCTGAAGGCATGTGTACAACAGAAAGGTAAGACTTTCTTCCTTTGTACAAAATCTTCTCCTCCCTGACGTGCATGTTGTCAGTGATTATACATTTAGACCTTTAAACTATTTGTATATAATAGACTTTATGCTTGTTTCATGTGTAAAAGGATAATCATTGATCTTTTCATTTAAACGTCCCATAGACCAATTTTATAAGAGTAGTTATAAATTTTTTTTTTTAGAATTGAACAAAATGGTATGATGATTTTGAACATTTTCTTCTTTTGAAATGTATAATCTGCTCTGGTATTTCTGCTCTTTTTGTAATTACCCTATACTTTTTAATAAATTTTCCCCTACTGCTAATAGATACAAGACAGCCTGTTTTAGAAATTCCTTAATAAACAAAATTGCCATTAAAAATTGTGTCCTTTCTCTTCTTTCAAAGTGTCTACTGTCTTCACTAAAAAACAAAAACAAAAACAAAAAAACAAATAAAAAACATATTAGAGCAATGTTTTGATCAAGAATGCCAACCTACAGAAAAAGTGGGATTGTATAGGGTTGGTTTGAGGAACACCATTTCCTCTGCTAAAGCAGTCCAGTTAACATCAATAAGGGAACCACTCCCAGTCTACTTGGCCAATTGTATCCAATACCACATAGTAAAAGCAGGCATTTTGGATTCATTTTCACCATGGCAGCCAGGTATACACAAGACCAACAATTCAGTAATTTAACTCTATGTTCTATTCATGTTGGGTACTCCTAGGAGAATGTAAACTCCTTGGACAGAAACTATCATTTCTCTTTATCATATACCTGTAGAAACTTACAGAAAATGAGTTTGTCATTGGCAATTGTGAACTAGGTCTTAATACAACAAAAATACAATATAAGAATGGAGATTGATGAAAGCAAAGGGGCTAATTTAATTCAACTCAATATTAAAGAAACATGTGTAAACCACATCTCAAAATCCATCTGCATGAGGCTTTCCTCATTGGTGGAGATTTACTGATCAATTCTATAGGCTCAAACTTGGCAAGAATTTGAGAGAAGAGAGATCCTGCTTTGAGAAAAAAAGATATACGGTTCCAGATTCTCTTCAGGCCCCAGAAGGGAGAGAAAGACTCTGGGAAGAAGATAACATGTAGAGGAGTCAGCACTTCAATCCTGTCCCTGTCTTCAGATAGTAGAGACTTTGGAGAATTTCCCCTTGGGTAGATTCCAGCACTCTCTCTCTCTTGATTGAGTGGAGATAACATACTCTCAGTGGGAATGGTTGTTCTCTATGTGTATTGTCAGGTACATATTCTCATCTGTATACCTTTTCTTATTTCTGTTTGCTATTGGCTTGGATAAGTGGGTTTATTTGCTATTTGCTACATATATTCATTGTAGAACTCCATTTGGTGGGAAGGGAGTCAAGACTTGAATATATAGCTTGGGGTATCCCTTTCCCATTAAGGGACAGTGGTTAAGGACCCTAGCTTGAACTTAAAAGTTATTTCTTCTAGTCCAACAATTAAGGGTAGATACATATAATTTGAGCTCTCTGAAGAGAGCAGAGTGACCACCCTCTGGCCCCAACCTCTTGCTCCCTTCCTGGAAGGAATCAAAGCATCCTGTGAGGAAGGATGAGGGTAGGAGAATCTTGAGATCCATGCCACTCTGTGAGCCACGTCTAGATATACCTGTGTGGACACTCATAAGCTGTGTGGCCAACGGTGCCTGTCTCCCTCCCCATCCCACCCACATACTTGCCACATATGAGGTATTTTGCTAGGTAACAGGTAGGCAAACATGAAAAACGTCAGTCTCTGCCCCCAAGTTTATAGGCTACCAGGGGTGAGACTATACTGGAGCCAGCTCAAACTGATCTCTGAGCAGCTTGTTAAATTTTAGTGTGACCATTTATACCTTGGAAATTGGCAGAAGCTCTTGACTTATTCTGTTGATTGGACTTAAGAAAGGGATGAAGAAAATGTAAAAATGTAGACTAAACATACAAGTGTGTCATGCTTATGTCTCCCCCTTCCAACCCAGAGAATTGGTTGTTAAACATTTACTAACATATCCCTGACCAGGGATATACAACATATATAATACCATTTACTAACATATCCCTGACTAGGGATATACAGTATGTATAATACAAGGTAGAGTGTGACAAGTCCCTCCAAGAGGCCAGACAAAATGCTCTAGGAAAATCTGGTGAGGTATAGAGAACTTTTAGCTGGAATGGCTGTGGGAGTGGAGGTGAATGGAGGAAATAGTAAATGCTCCATGGAGAAGACAGTATCTGAACTAGATCTTGAAGGATGAGAAAGATTAAGGAAGGAATGCATTCCAAGATTATGAGATGAGCTATGCAAATACACAGAGGCAGAAGAGGGTGAAATGAGATGGGAAATAGGAGCTTTCATTAAACAGTGCTTCTTTTTCTATCCCGTCTCAATCCTTTCCATAACACTTGAATTAATTTACACAGACGACAAAGTGTCAGGCAGCAACGGCCTTTTTTTTGTTTGTTTTAGGCAGTTGGGGTTAAGTGACTTGCCCAGGGTCACACAGCTAGTAAGTGTCAAGTGTTTGGTCTGAGGCTGGATTTGAACTCAGGTCCTCCTGACTTCAGGGCAGGTGCTCTATCCACTCTGCCACCTAGCTGCCCCAACAGTGGCCTTTTTGAAAAAGCAATTAGCTTATTGCTCCATACTAGTTTAAAAGCATCTGGATCATACTTTGTTTTTTCTCCCTGCAGTAACCAGCATCTTTTTCATTGAATTATACTTGGAAAGGGACTTTGAGAGGTCATTTCATGAAAGAGAACTATGGAATCTTGAGGTGGAAGGGCCCTTTAAAGTTAGGTGGTCTAACTTCCTACCAGCACAGGCATGTGCTCTACAGCATCATTGCTAGGTGGTCGGTCACTTTGCTGCTTGAAAAATTGTGGTAATGGGAAGTCACTGCCTCCTGAAATATCTCATTTTATTATTGGACACCTGAGGTTCCCTTTCCTCAACTGAGTCCAGCAATCAGCCATTAAGGGCCAATCCCATTCATGAGGCATAGGCAAGTAGACTCATGTATTTTGGTATTATAAATAACCACTGTGAATTAATCTAAATTGGCTATTTTGGGGAGTGGGCATTTGAGGAGACATCTCAGAATAAGGGATTTACTGGGCAATGTGATCCTGAGGATACTTAGAGGGAAAACTTAGAGGGATTAGAAAGGACACCTGTTAGACCTCTGCCTAATTAAATTTTTGTTTTTTTTTTTTTTTGCTAGGCAATGGGGTTAAGTGACTTGCCCAGGGTCACACAGCTAGTAAGTGTCAAGTGTCAGAGACCTGGTTTGAACTCTGCCTAATTGAATTCTTAACAAGCATTGTTTCACTTCTGTTTATCTCCTAGAACTGCCACACCCCTTTCTATCTGCTTAGAAGACATGGCTTGTTCTCCTCTGCCTAGGCTAGCCAACTCTTCCTTTCCCCCCCTCCTGCACTCCTTTGGATTTCTTCATCACACCCCAGCATGCTCCATCATGCCCCTGAACATAGCTTCCCTTTCCCTCTTCTCTTATTTAAACTTTCCCTTGTGTGTTGTCTCCTCCATTAGACTGTAAACAATTGAGGCCTGCCATTGCTTATTTTTGTATTTGTATCCTGGGGCTTAGCATAATGGTTCTATAGCAAAATATCTGACACCTCTCTTCTAACCCATACCCAGCAAGTGGCAATCCGGCTTTTATAAAAAGCCCTCCAAGAAGGGGAAACACCTACATTTTGAGGTAGCCCATTCCACTTTCCTCATGGATCCCAATGACTGCCCTCATGCCTAACATGAGTCAGTGATTTACTTAGGGTCGCCTTCCCTGGACCTATTGAAGACTGGCTAAGCTAGAGTAAATTTCTGCCCCTTGTTTAGAGATTTTTAAGCAGTTAAGACCGTCATTCAAATAGGGGGAGAAACACAAGGGAGTGAGTAGTGGCCAGGGAAGGGTGTTTTGGTCTGAGAAGTCAAAGGAATGGAGAATGAAATAATAGGGCAATTGAACAACTTATCGATGATGTGTCAGTTTCCTTCTAATGTTGTGATTCCAGAAATCTGTGGATTCTTGACAATAAACCTGTGTGTTGTACACATGCATTCTGCCTCTGACTTGAATTTTAAATTTAACTATTTTTTTGGTTACATTTTAAGTTTTAAACTCTCTCACCTTCCCCACCTCGCCCTAGACAAGGCCACCATTTGATGGAGATTTATAAAGTAAAACCATACTACAGCGTACTTGTTTTTATTGGTTCTTTCTCTGGAGGCAGAGAGCCTAATCATCATCCTGACTATTTAATTGGGTTTGTTTTTGGAGTGAGCAGTAGGGATAGTTGCGCCTTAAAGTCACTGTTGGAGTCTCTCCTCTCACAGCTGAAGACCCTAGTTCAATTTGTCATACTGGCTTTTCAGGAACAAGCACTAATGATCAATAAAATTGCCCATGGAAGGTTAGAAAAAGCTTTTTCACACTTTAAAAAATGTTTATTCAGCACTGACAGTCATTTGATAATGAAGGTCAATTAATAGACAATATTCTTCAGGACTGGAAAGGATTTATGGAAATCTCCCTCTTTTGAGGGAGAGCAGAATAGATTTCAGAAATCCTTTCCAGTAGATCATTTTGTTTCTAGAAGATGATAGCAATAAGATAATGATATACTCCCTGTCAAATGGAAGAGAGTGCAGCTGAGGCTTATGGGCCACTCTGGGAGCTGAGGTCAGAGCCAGGAGTAGCACCCTGAGGAGTTTCTGAAACCCACTCCAGTGCTTCAGTCTCCTGACAACATAGTTTGATAGACGAAATAAGGAGCTGGTTGCATACCCATCAAGTGACAGTTTCTGAGCAACATTTCAGTACTTCGAAGTTTAGTAGGGTGTCCTTCAGACATAGGCATAGACAGCTGCATTTTCTAGGAGAATTCTAGGTAGTGCAGAGGGCGAGCTTAATTGCAGAGGATGAAGAATGATGCAATGATGAACATTTTCATGGGAGCTATTTGTTTTGGTGAAACCAGACATCTGTCGGGAGGAAATTCTAGCTGGTCCATTCTGTAATTTATAAAGACAGAGAATGCTCCTCTTCAAATCCTTAGGTTGTCAAAAAGCTTCAGTTGTCCTGACATACTGTGGCTTGTGAGCAGTACAGTTGAGATTGAGATATGTTCTTCACTGGGACCCATGTAGAAAGGCTATATTAATCAGGGTGAACAAATCTCTTGGTGGCACCCAATTTACCCTGAGGTCAGCTAAAGACCTGGTCCAATGGGACTGAGACTGATGGTAGTTTGGAAAAGGTCCACTGGAATATAGTCAGTCCATCTCTTGGGATTCATGGCGATTAATCAATTTTTAAAAATCACACTTTTGCTGCAAAAAACTAAGAGCAAGGTGGGCAGGGTTAAAGCTTCGTTGATTCGATACCTTCCACTGGCGTTGCGTCGTTTGAATTTGGATTGGCAATGGCAGCTACTTTCTCTTTTTTGCATTTGGTGGAATAGATTATATAAATACTTCTCACCATGAAAATTCCAGCAATGACTGAAAAGTAGCTTCCATAAATCAGGAACTGGGAAAACAATTAGATTTAGTCACACGCACATACATACATACATACGTATTGCCAGTGCTTTACTCTGCTAAGCGTAATGATGTTATTGCTTTGGTTAGAATGTGGACACTAAGGAGAGCAAGGCCACATACAGGATCTCTTCAAGGTACAGTTAGGATGACATAGTGAGTCAACAAGCACTTCTTAAATGCTTACCATACGCTACTGCGTTAAGTATTAGGGGTAAAAGAGGCAAAAGTGGGGTCCCTACCCTAAGGAAAATCACATTCTATTGTGGAGAAAGCATGTAAATATAAAGTACATAAGATACTGACAGCATAAATAGAGAGCGATTTCAGAGGAAAAGAATTTGTAAGAGGAACTGGAGAAAAACACTTGGAGAAGTTGGGATTTGACCCAAGTCTTGAAGGAGGCTGGGGAGCCATGATGCAGAATTGAAGAGGGAGGGTATTCCAGGTATGAGTGGCAGTCAGTGAAAACAGCCCAGAGTTGGGACATGGAGTATTGTGAGAAATTCCAAATATAGCTAGAGCATAGAGTATGCGGATAGCGAGTAAAGTATAAAAATTTTAAAAAGGTAGGAAAGAGATTGTTAAGGGCTTTAAATGCCAAATAGATCCTCATCTCCAAATCCTTTAGGATGTTTAACTTGATCTGTTGCTCTGTGAATGCATTGTCATCTATAAGACTGGGTGAAATAACTAAGTACTTGTGTATATTATATCTTCCTATAGACAGCTTCCCTTAGGAATTATTTCCCATTTCCATGCATTTTACTTTCATCTGGTTTAACAAAAATACCATCATTGGATGACTAATCTAATAGACTGTGCAATTCAGGGCTCATTTGGCTTCCTTACTTAAGACTGAGTGGATGGGTCAGGCCAGTTGGGACCGGGGATGTCACAGAGTACCAGTCTACATTACCCTCAGAGGACCATCCAAATGGGAGCAGCTGTTGCTTTCCTTATGTCAAAGAACCTCTTTGCCATAATTTTTCATCTAATTTTTTTTGTCACCTCAGCTTTCTTTTTCATTCCTTCATAAGAAATACTGACTTTATTTTTGGGCGGGAAGCTTAAAATAGGAGTGCTGAGAGGGAAATCTGAGCTGGGGGTGGTGATAGGGCTGATGGGAAAATCTGAATATAGCAGAAGAATAAGGTGCCTGCCCACGGCCAGTGGATTTCCCATTCAATCAATAAGCAGTGCTAGGCACTAAATAATAAGGATACAAAGAAAAAGAAAAGGCCATCCCTACCTTCAAGAAGCTTACATTCAAATGGAAGAGATGTACATAAATATTAAAGATACATACCAGATAGATGAAAAGTAACCTCAGAGGGAAAGTCACTAGCAAAAGGGGGAACCAGAAAAGACCTCCTATTAAAGGTAGCATTTGAGTTGAGTCTTGAAGGAATCTTGGGATAATATGAGGCAGAAATGGGGAGAACGTTCCAGACATAGGATGGGGAAATGAAGCATCCTGTGTAAGGGCCTACAAGTAGGAAGATAGCACTGCTTCATAGAATGGGCAGAGTGGAATAAGGCTGGAAAGATATGTAGGGGACTAGGTTGTACTTTAAATGCCAAATAGGAGTTAATATTTGTTCTGTAGGTAATGGAGACCAATTAGAAGAGTATTACATTAAACAAGTGAAAGTTGATGAAGTTCTGAACTGGACGTGAGAATAGAAAGTAGGGAAAAGACTAAGATGTGGAAAAACAAACAAGATTAGGCAACATTCCTCAATATCCCTGATAGGATGAGTGAAAGTAAGGAGTCAAGGATGATATCAGCTTTGCTAACCGGAGTGACTAGGACAATGGTGCACTCAGTAATAGGAAAGTTGGGAAGAGGGGACTTTGGGACATATTGAATGTGAAATGCCTACGGTGATATAGGCAATTGGTGAGTGGAAGTGGAACTCAAGAGACGCTAAAGCTGGATATGCCTGGGCATCATCTGCCCAGATAGAAACGATAAATAAAAATTAATGGAAACTGATGACGTTACTAAATGAGAGAAAATAGAGAGAAAAAAGAAAAGAGGCCAGGGCAAAGACTTAGGGGACACCCACAGTGAATGAATGTGACCCGGTGGAAAAATTTGGACATAATGATGTGGCAATGATCTACAGAGTAGACCCTTACTACCCAAATATAAGAACAGGAGATCATATTAAAGTTGGAAGGGACTTTAGAGCAGTTGGTCTAACTCCATTTTATGAATGAGGAAACAGGCTAAATTTAATGAAGTTCTGATTTACTTGTTTAACTACCAAAAAATTTATAGAAAATCCAAGGATAGGTATCATAAAGCTGAAAAAAATCATTATGATGGTACCCAGTTAGAGGGGCAGAGCCAAGATGGCAGAGTAAAGGCAGCAATTGACCTGAACTCTCCCAATTTCTTCCTCCAAACATCTTTAAAATAACACCTCAAATCAAATTCTGTGGAGGCAAAAGGTTGAGGCAAAACAATTTTTCAGTCCAAGATAACTTGGTCAGCAAGAAAGGTCTGTGGGTGATGGTTTAGCCTGGCTCAGCACAGGTCATGCCAGCAGTAGGCCTTGGAGGCAACTGCGTCATCATCATCAGCTGCTTCAGGAGCTCTCAGCTTACACATGGTAAAGGGGTCAGACAAGTGGTCAGAAGGTTACAGGGGACCCTTTGGGAGTGCTGAGCGTGGGACCCTGCTTCATTGCCCATGTGGTTTGGGGTTGTGGTCCTGGGTGAAGAGGAACACTAGTACGCTAGCAAGCGCAGGAAAACAGGCGCCGGTCACAGTTCCAGGGCAGAGATGAGGGCTTGGTTGCTCACAAAGGACCAGGCCCTGGTCTCAGGTCCAAGGCAGAAAGGAGCACTAGCATTTGAACTATCTGTAATGGGGATGAGCTAGAAGCATTCCCAAGGAGATCAGGAGTCAAACAAGGCTGCCCACTATCACCACTGTTATTCAATATTGTGCTAGAAATATTAGCTTTAGCAATAAAAGAAAGGAATTAGAATAGGCAAAGAGGAAACAAAGCCATCACTCTTTGTAGATGATATGATGGTATACTTAGAGAATCAATTAAAAAAACTACTTGAAATAATTAGCAACTTCGGCAAAGTTGCAGGATATAAAATAAACCCACATAAATCATTAGCATTTCAATATGTTACTAACAAGGTCTATCAGCAAGACATAGAAAGAGAAATGTCATTTAAAAGAAATACAGACAACATGAAATACTAGGGAGTCTACCTGCCAAAGCAAACCCAGGAACTACACAATTACAAAACACTATTCACACAAATAAAGTCAGATAAAACAATTGGAAAAATATATCAGCTGCTCATGGGTAGAACAAGCCAATAATAATGACAATTCTACCAAAGTAATTATTCAGTGACATACCAACCAACCAAAGATTTATTTTATAGAGCCAGAAAACAACGATTGATCTGAAAGAACAAAAGGTCAAGAATATCAAGGAAATTAATTTAAAAAAAAATTGAAGATGGCCTAGCAGTACCAGATCTCAAACTATTACAAAATGACAATCATCAAAACATCTATCTTACCCTACAGGAAAATAGAAGGAGAAGGAGATTGGGGGGTAATAGAAGGGAGAACAGATTGGGTGAAGGAATCAGAATGCAGGCTGTCATGGGGTGGGGCAGGGAGAGGAAGGTTGGGAGAAAATTTGGAACTTAAAATCTTGTGGAAGTAAATGTTGAAAGCTAAAAATAAATTGATAAAACAAATTCATCAAAGCAGTCTGGAAGTGGCTGAGAAATAAAGTTGTGGATGAGTGGAATAGATTAGGTACACAATACACAGTAATAAAGGACCACAGTAATCTAGAATTTGATAAATGCAACCATATAAGCCCAAACTTTTGGGACAAGAACTCACTAACAAAAATTGCTGGAAAAACTGGAGAGCAGTTTGGCAGAAACTAGGTGTACACCAACATCTCACACTGAATATCAAGATAAGGTCAAAATGGGCATATGATTTAGGCATAAAGGGTGATATGTCATAAGCAAATTGGCGGTGTGTGGAATATTTTACTTATCAGACCTACAGATGAGGGCAGTATCTATGACCAAAGAAATAGCATTATGGGATTTAAAAAAAGCGGATAATTTTGATTACATTAAATTTAAAAGATTTTGCACAAACAACACAAACGTAACCCACATTAGAAGGAATGTGGGAAACTGGAAAAAAAATAATCTACAGCTAGTTTCTCTGATAAAGGCCTTATTTCTCAAATATGTAAAGAACTGAGTCAAATTTATAAGAATACAAGTCATTCCCCAATTGATAAATGGTCAAAGGATATGAACAAGCAATTTTCAGAAGAAATCAAAGCTATCTATAGTTATATGAAAAAATGCTCTAAATCACTATTGATTAGAGAAACATAAATTAAAACAACTCTGAGATATCATTCTATCCACAAAGGGCTTTAATATTTTAATTCATTCAACTCTTCCCATAGCTAGTAAATGTCTAAGGCAGAAGAATTGAAAATTGAGGAAATGCCCATCAATTGGGGAATGGCTGAACAAGTTGTGGTATATGAGTGTAATGGAATACTATTTTTCCATGAGAAATGATGAGCAGAAGGACTTCAGAAAACCTGGAAATGATGCTAAGTGAAGTGAGCAGAACCAGAAGAACACAGTAACAGTAACATTATGCTATAACTAACTTCGGTAGATTTAACTCTTCTCAGCGATACAATGATCTAAGACAATTCCAAAAGACTCGTGATGGAAAATGCTAGCCATATCCACATAGAAAGAACTATGGAGTCTGAATGCAGATCAAAACATATCATTTGATCTTTTTTCTTTTATTTCTTCTTTCTTATGATTTCTCCCATTGGGTTTAATTCTTTACAACATGACTAATGTGAAAATGTGTTTAATACGAATGCCTATCAGATTGCATGCCATCTTGGGCAGGGGGGAAGGAAGGGAGGAGTAGAAAATTTAGAATTCAAAATCTTATAAAAGAGAATGTTGGAAACAAAAATAAATAAGTTAAAAATGTCTAAGGCAGGATTCCATTCCCAACTCCAAATCTAGCACTCTCATCTGCCACCTACCTGCCTAGTAATAGCTCTGCCATCCCTGTCTCCAAGAGAATTTGCTTTTTTAATGAAACTTACCTGAATGTCGATTGTCAGACTCAGACCTCTTGCATCAACTACGATTAATGTCATTATGGTCTGAATCAGCAAGGCCAAGAAGGTATTGACTCCAAAAACTAAAGCATAGCGCTCCATGCTGAGGTTCACTGCAATCTGAAATCTGACATGATATAAATGGTCAATAATATCGCCAATATCAAAATACCAACATCAATATACTAATATCACCAAAAAAAGGGTTGTTGGTCTTATGCTCAGGGCTTTAAGGGAGATAAATAGTTGTCCTAAGAGTTCTACCCTCCTTTTAGTCATCTTCTACCAGAAATAATGAATGGTGAGGTGAAGAAAAAAACTAAAGGTGGGAAGAACAAAGCAAAAATTAGATTAGCTATTAAAGCCCTACTCCTTATCTTCAGTGCAGCATGGTGGCACATGCCTGTATTACCAGCTCCTTGGGAAGCTGAGGCTGGTAGATCTCCTGATCTTGGAAGTTTTGAGCCACAGTACTGCTAAAGCTGTTCAGTCTAAGTCTGGGATCAATAGAATAAGCCCCTGGGAATAGGGTTTTTTTTGAGTTGCATAAAGAGAGACAAACCAACCCAATGCAGAAATAGGGCATGTCAAAGCTCCTGTGCTGATCAGTAATAAGTTTGGACTGTCAGTAGCTTCTATTTCTAGCCTGAGCAAGAAAGAGAGAACCAGCCTCAAAAATAAAAGGGGCCCTATTATTCAAAACCAAGAAGCAGTAGCACAAGACATATTGGATACAATGTGGGAATTGATGTCAAGAAGAGCTGGGTTCAAATCCCACCTGAGACACACATCATTTAATTTTGTTTGCTAAGTCATAGACTATATACTGTTCAGAGGGGTCCTCCTGAAATCACAAGATCATTCATATATTCAGAATCTTTGCAAAACTTCTGGGGGTTGCATGTCTGTTAATTCCCTATGTATTTTGGGTATCAGTCTTTTATTGATGATGCTTAACACAAGCATTTTTTTCCCATTCTAGTATTTATTTTTAAATTCCACAATCTTAGGAATTTTGGATAGAAGAATGCTATCGTTTCTCTTTGTTTCTTGCAAAAGTGCTATACATAAAGTGGGCTATCTGAATGAATTACCTGAAATCTCAAATTAACAGCAAAAAAAAAAATTAAACTGTACATGAAGTATACAATTGAACAAGAGTAGGTCATCCCAATGGAAAATTACAAAATCCAGGACACAAAGTGAGGTCTCACAAGGATCCCACTAAACAACACCTGTGAAGAAGCTATGATTTGTTATCGTGGGTAACTTCCATGTTGGAACTTCCCTTCATAACCAGGGTAGAATTTAAGTGATTTGCTCAATCACACAAATGTCAGATGAAATTTGAATCCAAGTCTACTGGATTCCACACCTAGTACTCTGAACCAAAATACTGCTATTACTTGTATTTTCTAGGTTTTTTTTTTAATACTCCACTAACAATTATTTTCTCAAAACATACTAGAGTACCTTTTTAGAGGTTGGAGTTGAAAGAAAACTGTTTCTCTTGGCATGCAGATTGTCCCTTGTGAATCTTGATTTATTTTGTCAGGATTAGATAAGATCTATGAAGGCAGTGGTTTATAAATACTTAGAAGATTGGTAGGCTGGCACTGGAGGTCCTGAAGTAACCAACTTTTTTTCCCTTTTTTCTTTCAAGTACCTGTAATCCCTTGCCATCACACCAAAGGAAATCCTTAACCCTCCCTTGAAGGATCATTAACTTGTCAACCTTCTCTGTGGGGGGTTAGGAATACAATGGGACAGAGTGCCCTAACTCTGACCAGGACCACTGTACTTACATACAGGTTCTGTGCTATAGTTAACTTTAAATATGGAACAAACACTTGAATAATTTTCAGTGTTCCAAGTTGCATAAATTCAATGCAAGTTGAATTTATAAGCTAAAGTACTATATGAACTTTTGCATAAGATTTATAATTGGAATATCACTGATAAAAGTCTGATATCCAAGATAGGCAGGGAAGTCACTTGAATTTATAAGACCAAAATGTTGTTATTCAGTTGTGTCCAATTCTTTGTAACCCCGTTTGGGGTTTTCTTGGCAGAGATACTGGAGTCATTTGCTATTTCCTTCTACAACTCCTTTTACAGATGATTCATCTTATAGTTGCTTGTCCTTCGTTCTTGAAAAGGACCATGACATCAGGGAGGTGATGCCATGACATGCAAGTGAATTGGATTTAAGTGAGGGAAGGCTGTGTAAAGTCACTGGCCTCACTTTCTCCTCCAGAGCCATCTGACTCCTGTGGCAAGATACAGATCACGAGGACTGGAGATGGCCCTGGAGGCAGTGGGGGACCTTGGCCTTTTTAAGCTAAGGTCTCTAACAGATAGGTCTCAGTTTGACTGAGGCAATGCCCATTCAGTGAATGAGGCTTAAGAAATGAGGCAGAGAATGGCCTCTTTGCCTAGCTTAAAACAAAAAATCTTGGGAGGAAAAGACCCTCAGGGTTTCTGGTCAAAACAGAAACAATTGCTGTTTACATTCTTGGCCAGGGAACTATTTGTTGGCCAATCAATAAGAGTCAGAGTGATTTGGGTTTAAGGCTTGGTCCTCAAGAAAAGAAAAAGTTTCAGTGATCAAACTTTACATTCCCTTTGGGCAAAGCACCCCCCAGTAAAGATCATATGAAAAAATGTTCCTAATAATATCATAAGAAAAAATGTGAACTAGAAGCAACATTCAAGTTTTACTCCACACCTGTCCAATTGGCTGGCATATATCCTGTTGGTCAAGCAATGAATCAATTCAAACATTTTGGAAACTACATGGAAACTAGATGACCTCTGAGGATGTATCTGGCTCTAATTTGTGATCCTATAACCTATGATTTTCCTTCTATGTAGTGTCTGGGGAATAAGCTTGTACTTTAAACTGATGTTTTCTTTAGACTGCCAGAAGTCCTTTGGCACCAAAAGCTTAAGTTAAGAAGCCCCTCAGCTACTTGTATCCCTAGCACATGGTAAGAATTTAAGAAATTTTCATTCATAACTTCATTCAAAGAACTGAGAAATGTACCAAAGGCAGGTATGGATGTATGCCCATTCTCGGCTCAGCTGGGCTCTGACAACTGGATTTGAGACTCAAGGGACTTGAACTTTCAGAGGTAAAGCTTATGAAAGATTTTATGAAAATAAGAGTATGACTGTCTTTTCTGCAGAAGCTTAAATGGAGGGTTTCCTCCACACAGCTTTGAAACAAACCTTGCAGAGATGGAGAAAAAGAATAGGGCTAACGTTACTCTCATTCCCAGAGTGGACCATGGGAAAGTCCTTGGATTATAGATTGAGCTGGAAGGTAAGTCCTAGTCCAGCTTTATGCAAATTGAGTGATAGAGCCAGGATGCCATTCTTAGTTGATTATTCTATCACTAATCAGAGTTACCAAATAGTAAGTTGTGAGCAATGAATGCCTCGTCCCTTCAGGTGCTTTTTTCCTGGCATCATGGAGCATATTTTATCACTAATCAGAGTTACCAAATAGTGAATTGTGAGCAATGAATGCCTCATCCCTTCAGATGTTTTTTTTTTTTTACCCTGGCATCACGGAGCTCCATCTTCATATCTGTAGCTGTTTTAATACTTTCCTTATAGTATATTTTGGCTTTCTTTATGAATCAGGGTGGGCCTTGGCTTCTTCTGTGCTTTCAAAAACATTTGTGGGATTTTGATCTCTGTATCTAGGTCTCTTAAAGGGCATCTTTACTTCACTTTCCTGGGAACATTTTAAAAACTGGTTTCACAGAGAGGTAGGTAGTCTAGGATTACCCAATAAGATATGAGGGCTGAAAGAAACCTTACCAGTGAGCACACAATGGAATCACATCCTCTTATGACAATTTATGAAACAAAACAAAATCAAATCAAACGAAACTTGATGACACATCCTTTGCCAAACCAATTATTCAACACAGTTGACCTTTTCCCAGTTTCATGTCCTCAGCAAAATTCAGAGAAAGTAGCAAGGTAAATTGTTGCATTGTTTCTGACAATAAAACCAAGAAGCATTCAAGATAGACCTCAGTAGTTAAAATGATGTGGCTATCCAAAGGAAGAGAAGGGTATATTTTCTTTTTAAATTAAAAATTAGACAAATTTAAGAGAAATACATAATACTTACACCGCAATGGTTATGAGAAGCATATAAACTGATTTGAAAATCAAAAAGCCAACATAACACAGCCAGATGTTGTTGGTAAAATGCATGAGGAATAGTGAACCAGCGTCTATGACTGAGAAGATTCCTAAAGCCAACTCTCCAAAAAGGTCCCAGTTGATTTTCACATACCCCACGGCAAGGGCTGCCATAGCACCTATGAGGGAGAGAAAAAAGACAAGCTTATTATTTATTCCAATCTAGGAAACATCTATTTGGGGAAAAAAATCAGAAATTATGTTTAATAATTCATGGTTTGTAAAATCAATTCTAGAGCTGGAAAGACCAAAGACATTTGTAGAAGTCCTTATTTTATAGATGAAGCAATGGAAGCCTAGGAAGGTTAAGTGAGTGGTTGGTCCAACATCACATAGGTAAAGAATAGGGAAAAGGGTAAGATTTGAACCCAGGTAATCAGATTCTGAATACAGCACAAAGCACTGTGAAATGGACAAGAATACTAACAATTATGAGGATTAGGAAAGGCTTTCTAGAGGAGGTGACAACTAAGCTATGCTTATAAGGACTAGAGGGATGCTATGAGATGAAGATGAAGAAGGATTACATTCCAGATATGGAAAGTCTGTACAAATGCATGGTGTGAAATTAAGGAATGCAGAACCAGACTATTGTAAAGGCAAAGTCCCTTTGGGGTTTTGTTTTGACAAAAATCCACCACTTTGCTAAAAATTCCCATATAGTTTTTTTTTTTATCAATAATGAAAGATTTTGTTCCAGGATATATTGAGGCTTGAAGGTGATATTATCTTGGAGTCCAGAACTGTCATTGCTCACATGAGGAAAATGAGGCCCAGACGCTGAAGCCAGGCTAGTAAGTAGCTAAGTCAGGACTAAACTCAGGTCACCTAGTCTCTGGTGACATGCTTGTCCTACTTTGTACTATTGCATTCAGTCCTTTCTCTCTTCCAGGAAGAGCTCCTCATATTATTTTTTTTCTCTGAGAAAATTAAGAGCCTTAATTTTTCTATTCTTTCAGCAAAGACTCTACCCGTCTACCAAGCAGTGTGCTGATAAATGGTTAACAACTAGCTCTGGGGGGAAAAATGTAGCAGGACACATTTTAAAAATTAATTTGCACTACTAACATGTTCTCCATTACTTTCTTGAGTCTAGACATTGACAAAATAATAAATCAAGCCCTGATTTGCAGCATATGATGATTTCTGAGGTGTAAAACATTCATGCTGAAAATTTAACAATCAGATCTCACGAGCTAGTTCTACCTGGATCTAACACATCCTTTCCTGTAGCCAAAGAGCTCTAAAGCTTTTTTTTCCCTTCCAGATTCCTTACAGATGCAACATCTCTATAACTGCTCTCTCCTTCTCATTTTCAGTAACTAATCCTCTGACTATATGTACTAGGGCTATAAGTCATGCAATTTTTTCCTAGGCTTCTGTTGCTACTAGTCTACTAGTCTTCTGCTTGGTCCCTTGTAGGTGTGGCCAAACTTTTATGAGATCTTAGGTCTGCCAATTAGTCAAAAAGCATTTTTTAAGCACCTACTCTATGTGCCAGTCAAGGTGATGGGTGCTCAGGACACAGACAAAAGGGTAGTTCCTGCCCTCAGGGAGCTTACATTCTATTGAAAAAGACAGCACACACACACACACACACACACACACACACACACAGAGAAGCCCATAGGTATGTGTATGTATGCATAATTATGCTAATTGTAGTTGAGTTCTTTTCTATGCAAACATCTATGTTTAGAAATGGGGGACCTTTAAAGACAGGCTTTTATGATTATGTGAAATTTTGATCCTGTTTAAACACAGGCTTGGTAATAATGACTGGAAAGGAAAATGGATGTAGCTTCTGTCCAGAAACAGGTACAGAAAATCAAAGGCAAGGAAATGGGCCCAAGTGAAGCCACCAAAAAGAATAGTCCTTAACTTCTAAGGCTCAAACTAGACTCTCCAAGAAGAGAATGAGCTTGACAATGGGTTTCCTGAAAATGTCAATAAAGGCATGGGTGTGGAACCATGTGACTTCCTAGAAAACATCTTCAAAGTGTCCTTTGATTTTTAAATTAGGAAAGTAAACGTCTCTATTGCTTAAAGTGCCTCCTATGTGCCAGGTACTGTACTAACCTTCTAGGGAATCAGAGAAAAGCAAAAATAAAAAAATAAAAAACCCAATGCCTGCTCTGAGGAGTTCACAGAAATAATGAAGGAGCCAACATGCACACAACTATGTATAAACAATTTCATTGGTATAGGGAGCTCCTGGATGAGGAAACTACCAATTTTCTTACTTACGTAGCTAAGTGGTCCAGATAGAATGCTATCTGCTTCAATTTCCTGAATTGTAAATATGGGGATAATAGTACCTATCTCTCTCTGTCCCTTCCTTCCCTCTTTCTTTGGTTGACTCAGACAGTAGTAGCTTGAGGTACTTAGTGGACATAGCACCAAAAAAAAAAGTATTTTGTATTTTTATACCTTGTATAAAGGAGCCATTTCATTTGTCTTTATGTAGCTATTTATAGCTAACATTTATATTGTGCCTGCTGGGTACCAGGCATTGTGTCAGCACTTTACAAATGTTATCTCATTTGATCCTCACAACAACCCTGAGAGGTAGATGCCATTATTATCCCCATTTTACAGTTCAGGAAACTGAGGCAGACAGCGCCGTATCCACTGGTCCACTTGGCTTCCTTTGTATCCCCAGTGATTGTGGCATTGCTTCTTAATTGACTGATTAAGAGTGCCGAAAAAGGAAGCTCCAGCTTTGTCTACCCACCTCCAAATGTTGCAACAGCTTCTACTGCTCCATTATACACCTGAGAGCTTTGAGATGGTGCCTTGTGATCCCACAGAAGCTGGACATAGTTTAACACCTGGTTAAAGCCGGCCGTGGCAGAAGCCCACCAGATAGACCAGAATAAAAGACGGTTGGTGGAGTAGCACTCCTTCAAGTCTTGGCACCACTGGAGAAACACCCTCAGCACCAGGCTTTTTTGTTGAAGGTCAGCTGATTGGCTTTTTTGCTGTCTTTCTGATTTGGCAGATGATACTGAAGTGGCGCAGTCTTCTTGGCTGGCTGGTGAGCTTCCCTTACCAGGCATCTCTAGCACTACTACATCCTTGTCTGCTGATCCTTGAGTTTCTGCTCCCACCTTTTTATGGAAGAACATGCTTTTCTGGGGCATTGGCAGGAAAAATGTGAAAACGAATGCCACAGAGAGAGAAATCATAGTTATAACATTGAGATAAAAATAAGAAACATGTGCCAGGGAGACTAAGAGCTGGGACAGCACAGAAGCAACAGTATATCCCACCAGTGTGATGCTTCTACAGTAACTTGTTACTTTCTGGTAGTGTTCCACATTGACCACACTATAAATGTAAGAGTAGTAGGCCACTTCCGTGGCTGTGGCCAACCCGTAGAAAAATTCCAAGATCTGCATGGCTAATAATCCTTGGGAAAATAAGAGCATCAACCAGGTAATCAAAAAGCTAACTCCTTGTAAGATGATTATAGGCTTGTACCGGAGGTAGTCAGTCAGCACAAACACAGGGAATAACAGCACCAGATAAGAGTAGGTCCAAACTGGAAACATTTGATTGGAGACCTGTGGAGTCACAAAAAAGTACATCACATGACAACGAGGCTACTCAAAGCTTCATAAGTACATGAGAAGCAGTGAATTAATAATAGCTAGCTAATGTTTTTATCTACCCAGACATAGACATAGACAGATGCATATGTACACACATCTTTGTATCTTTGCCAGGAAAACTCCAAATGGGGTCCAGTTGGATATGACTGAAATGACTGAACAAGCAGGTTTATAGTGTCAGCTATGTGCCAGGCACTGTGCTAAGCCCTTTACAAATTTTGTCTCATTTGACATCAATGAAATCAATGAAGCCTAGAACGTAGAGCGTGGCCCAGTATAAAATTTCTGAGCTGATTTGATCTTTTGAACTCCTCCCATCAGTGAGAAGAGAAGCAGAAAACAGATTTTTTCCAGAGCCAGATTTGGAAAGTTGACAGACCTCCATGGTAACCATTTACATGGTGTATTCTGCAGGTTATCAAAGGAGAATTTTTGGTCTTGGAATCCTTTTTTCCTGGTTTGCTGTTCCCCCACATCTTCCACCTCTCTTCCTCCTCTGTAGCTCTGCACAGGCCACTACCCATGCCTTGAATGAACTTCTTCCTCACCTCCTTGATTGGCTAGGACTTCTATTAAGGCTTACCTTATGTTTCAAATCAAGCCTTTCTTGACTTTTCTGGGTCTTTCTCCTTCATATCTTAAATGCTATCTGCTCATTCTTTCCCTCATATCCACCAAGTAAGCTACCTGAGGATATAGACTACATTGTTTTTGTTTTTACACCACTATGCCCTGTATACAGTAGGTATTTGATAAATGCTTGTTGGATTGTTGTCAAATTACTTTGCTTATATGGGCAAATAGCAACCAGAATTTGTTTCCACTAGGTAAAAGCTGCACCCAGACACCTGCCCTGTGATGACACAGCCTTGGCCTGCATTATACTACTCTAAGAACAAGATGCTATTTTTAAAAAATGTGGATTCCTGTAGGAAACCATGGTAGAAACTAATTTTCCCTAATCATTAGGGACTGCACATCTATCTTATCTATCTAGACATACACCCATATGTGTGTGTGTGTGTGTGTGTGTGTGTGTGTGTGTGTGTATATATATATACACACATGCATATATATGTATATGGAGAGATATAGATACATTATACCCATCTTTTCTTTAAAATAAATTTTCATTGTTACCTTTTGCTTTTTATGTTACTGACACATGGTGTTCTTAACCTAGGGTAAGTTTTAAAATGTAGCTATAGATAGATCACTATATAGATAGGTATTTCTATATAATTGACATACTTCGCAATTCTGTGTATTTTATTTTATACATTTACAAATATTATCTGCAGATGGGGTCCATGAAAGGGATTCCTGAAATGAAAGACCAAGATGCTCTGGCTTACATAGAAAATCAGCTGGGCATAGCAAATAGCTAGCTACTTAGGGATCCAGAAGTATCTGGGTTGAAGTGCAGACAATTTATTGATTCTAATTCTCAGCAAATACTTAACTTCTCAGTGCTCTAGGCAGTACCTTAAGTCTCTCAGTTATAAAGAAAACTGAGCCATTATTGAGGAAGAGGGAGTTCTTACCTAGGAGTGAGAAAGTGAAATCAGGTCCAATCCCTATCACTACCTCTCATCTAATTTCCCGAAGGTTTCCTTCTTCCCCCAGGGAGAATAAAAATGGCAAACAGTCCAGAAGTCACCCCTAGTTTTTCATACCCATAGTCCCTCATTTTGACAAAGAGGCTGGGGTAGGAGCAGAAGGAATGTACTTTTTTCATCTTGATCTTTGGGACCATGCTTCATCCTATTACAATACTTTAAATTAAACTATTGAATTAATTAATAATTACCTTTGCAGCATTCAGTTCTGAGTATTTTATTCTTTCCACCAACATCATAGTACAACTGTTCATATATTTCATGTCTTAGCTAGGCTTAAACCTGTGGCAGATCTGTTTGCCTCTCTAGCTACTGGACCCAGAAGGCTCTGGAGGAGAAAGTGAGGCTGGTGACTTTGTACAGCCCTGCCTCACTTAGTTCCAGTTCACTTGCATTTCATGGCATCACCTCCCTGATGTCACGGTCCTCTTCCAAGAAGCAAGAAACAACAACCTCTGTGAGTAGAAAAGGAGCTGCCCACTGGGGACCAAAATGGAATTGGACAGTTGGGCAATACAGCTTTCTCTCTTTCTTTTTCTCTTTCTTTCCCTTCCCTCTGTCCACATATGGTATCACACCCTTAGGTGCTGGTGCTCTGACCAAAGGGAATATAAATTTTCATCTTTCTTAAAGACCAGCCTTAACCCCAAATCACTCTGGCTCTCATTGATTGGCCAACAACAGGTTTCAGGTCAAGCCCCACTTGGTCATTGTTTGGGCCCTGATTGGCTCAGAGTGAATGTAAGTAGTAATTGTTTCTGTTTTGGCGGGAAACCCTGAGTGTCTTCTCCTCTCAGATGATTTTTTTTCACTAGGTAAAGAGACCATTCTCTGTCTCATTTCTTATTACACCTTTATCGCTAAATGGATATTGCCTCAGTCAAACTGAGACCTGTAAAAGACCTTAGCTTGAAAAGGTTATGCGCCCCCCCCCCCGCCCCGTGGTATCCTAGGCCATCCCTGGTTGTCCTGATCTCTGTCTGGCCACTGGACCCAGATGGCTTCAAAAAGTAAGGGTGGTGACTTTGCACAGCCGTCTTCACTTAAAATCCAATTCACTAGCATTTCATGGCATCACCTCCCTGATGTCATGGTCCTCTTTGAGGAAAAAGGACAGCAACAACTTACAAGTCCCAAGAACCCCTTAAAAACCAATAAAACAGGGGCACCTAGGTGGTGCAGTGGATAGAGCACCAGCCCTGAAGTCAGGAGGACCTGAGTTCAAATCCACCCTCAGACCAAACACTTGACACTTACTAGCTGTGTGAGCCTGGGAAAGTCACTTAACCCCAATTGCCTAAAAAAAAAAAAGGCAAAAAAAACACCCCCCAATAAAACAAAGACAACCCTCTGAGCACCTGAAATATCTAATAAGCAATAGTTCTTTCTAATTGGCTAATATACCAGAGGTGGCTAAATGGTGCCATGGATAGAGCACTGGCCTCAGGAAGACCTCAATTCAATGCCTCAGAAACCTAGCTGTATGAGGCTGGGTAAATCACTTAGCCTCTGTTTGCCTCAGTTTCCCTATATATAAAAGGTGGATAATACTAGTGCTTTTTGGGGTTGTTGTGAGGATCAAATGAGATATTTGAGAAGCACCTAGCATGGTGCCTGGCACATAGTAGGCACTAGTTATTGTCATCATCGTCATCATCGTTTCGGAACCTGCTGCAGGGCTTAAGCTAACGTTGGAGTCCTAAGACTCCAGAGTTGGAATCCTGGCTCAGCTTTTGGGACCTTGGACAAGTCACATTATCTCTCTGTGCTTCTTACTTCCTCACCTGTAGAACAGGGGGAGGAGGGCTGGACTAGGTGACCTCTAAGGCATCTTCCAGTTCTAGACCCACCATCCTAAGATGGGCAGGGCAGATAACTGGGCATTTCTCTTTTGGAATTTGCCACAAACTCAAAATGATGCAGGAATTCAGATGCCATCAGTGGCTGGGGAGAGGCTGGAGGGGCTAGAGAAGACTAAGCTTCTCTTTCTTCCTTCTAAAAATGTTGCTGTTAAGGCCTAAGGAGAATGGCATGCCTCTCCTTATCTTTTTCTGTTTACAAAACACTGGAAAGACAGCCACAGTGTTTCTACTTGGTAGAAAATGATTAAGTGGTATCTTCCTTCTTTCTCGGGGCACATTCTTTCCACTATTTTGTTACCCAGGTTAAACAAGTACTCAACTGGGAGGTGGCTGTTGTTTGAGTGGAGAGTAATAGAATCCAGGGGAAGCTAGTATATTGTCCTTCTAAACTTTTTGAAGGTTTGAGGAACAGTCCTAGAGGTGTGACGATATGGGGGTTCTTGTGGACAGCAGTGCTTTTTGGAAGGGGTTGAGGAGCTAAGTCACTAAATTTCTCCTATAACAAATAACAGAGTCCTTCAATCCATTTGTCTAAGTTGAGTTAAAGGCCCATGATTCTTGCTTGCAACTTGAGAGCAGGCAAGAGTAGAGTCTCTGTAGAACAGGCAGCTCCCCCCAATATCACAAGTATGCTCTCGGATCTGAATAAACTTGTCATTTGACTTACCTCACTGAGGGTTAGATTTTTATCTGGTCCAAGTAAGTAAGGTACAATAAATGGTTCTGATGGTTTCATCATGGAGAAAAACCCATAGATACAGAGGATGGTGGTGGGGAAAATCCAGGACTGACGCATTGTTCTAAAGCAATCCATGCGGTTAGGCTGAAACAAAGCAAAGATCGTGAACAGAGACTGATGCTTGAAGATTCTCTCATAAGGATAAAGCTAAATTACTTTCCACAAAAAATTGGGGATTACTTCTCCAAGCTACACTCTTCCTTTAGCCTCAGTAATGGAATCAACACAAGGCAAAAAGACAGGAATTGAAAAAAGCGGTTACCTTTCTTGACTCCTTGGAAACAAATAGTAACGTCACAACGTAGAGGGCAGTATTATGTTTCTTGCTTCTTCAGCTAGAGTTGAGGCAGTTTCTTGAGGACTGAGGACTATCAAGCAGAGTCCCTTTTATTCACTTATGCAGAGCATTGTGAGACTCTAGAGATTCTGGGAAAGGAGGCACCACCCAGGTCATTTTGTCCAAGTTCCTCATTTGACAGGTGAGGAAGCAGACAGGAGTTAAAGTGATGGGATCAAGGTCACAAAGGGAGTAAATATAGGTCTTTTGCGAAATACTCAATGTGTACTGTTCTTTGGGCAGAAAACTTATGCAGGAGAAAGATAATGAGGTAAAAGTAATACAGACCCACAGCTGGAGCCTTACCCCAGGACGTCAAAATCCTGTTGGAGATGGAGAGGTATAGGCTTTCTCTCTCAGGTCATCTCTTCTGTGCTAACTACCCCCTCCTCCTTTCCCCATCTTCACCTCTTGATGAGCTAATTAAATTATTAATTGATTAATTCATTGGCCTCCCTCTTGAGTCCTTCCCCCCTTGGTCATATCACCAATCTTGCCCTGCCAGGCTTCAATATTGGGTTATTCCCATCACCTACTGCCTTTGTTCTTATACATGAAAGTGGAGAAAATCATGAAACTATGTTGACCTTACCTTCTCAGGGATGGGGGAGGGGAGAGGAGGGAAGGAGGGATAGAATTCGGAACTCAAAACTTTAAATAAAAATGCTAAAAATTTTTTTAAAAAAAGAAATAAACTGAGTTTTTTGGTCTTTTTTTTCCCTTCACTACAGGACTATCACGGAAATGTTTTGCCTTACTACACATGTATAACCTATATTGAATTTCTTGCCTTCTCAGTGGGAGTGGGGGTGGGGAGAGGGGAAGGGAGAGAATTTGGAATTTAGTTTTAAAAACGTTTGTTTAAAAATGAATGTTAAAAATTGTTTTTACATGTAAATAAAATACTGAATAAATAAATTTTTTAAAAAAGAAAATACTACCAAAAAAAGAAAACTATGCTGACTAGCTCCACTATAAATGATATGACTTAGTCTGAATTGGGCCCTCACCAATGCAATGTAATGCTTTTATATCTCCCTAATTAACTAACCATCTCACCTACCATAGTGTCTCTTCCAAATTTTTTCTTCCTTCCTTAAATCTTCCATGGTTTCCCCTTCTCCATATCCTCTCAGGTGAGAGCCTAGCCTTCTAATTTACCAAAAGTTGAGGCTATTTTCTCAGAGCTGCCTGTCGTCCCCTCCTCCTCATCTCATATCATCCAGGGACCTTATTTCACTATCTCCTCCTTTATTGCTGTCTCGCACAAAGGGGTGGCCCTTCTCATTGCCAAGGCTAACCCTCTACAGGAAGTAGGTTGTTATCTGTTATTTCCACTCCGTTTATCTTCAATTTCTCCTTGTCTGCTCAATGCTTCCCAACTGCCTACAAACTTGCCCTTGTCTACCCCATTCTCAAAAAAACTCTCACCCAATCCATTTTTGCAAACTTTACAAAAAAAAATCTTTTTTAAAAAAAATGTTCTTTTTAAAAATCTCTGTCTTCTGCTTTTGTGGCTAAATGCCTTAAGAAAATAGCCTACAATAGATGCCCCTCATTTTCCCCTCACTGTATAGTCTGGCTTAATAGAAATTGCCCTCTCCAAAGTTGCAATTTCCTAATTACCAAATTCAATGGCCTTTTTTCAGTTCTCATCCTTGAGCTCTCGGCAGCCTTTGACACTCTTGTTTGGCATTTAAGAAAGACTCTGTGGGATCACCTTCTTTTCCTTCATGTTCTCTTCTCTCCAGGACTACACTCTGCTTCTCTTTAGGTTTTTGTGACACTGCTATTTTCTGGTTCCCCTCCTTTTATTTTCCTTTTTTAAAGTGGCCATTCTCTGCCTCATTTCTTTTTAAGCCTTAATCACTGAATGGGCTTTGCCCCACTCAAAGTGAGACCTGCTAAGGACCTTAGTTTAAAAAGGCTAAGGTCTCCCACTGCATCCAGTGCTCCTGATCTATGTCTTGCCACTAGACCCAGATGGCTCTGGAGGAGAAAGTGAGGCCGGTGACTTTGCACAGCCCTCCCTCTTTTCAATCCAATTCACTTGCATGGCATGGCATCACCTTCCCTGATGTCATGGTCCTCTTCAGAGAGCTAAGGACAAACAGCAGCAGCCACAACCACAATAATTTTCCCATTCCTCTCCTACTGTTTGACTGCTCCTTATCTTTAGCTGGGTCTTCATCCAGGTCATACGTGCTAAACTATGGGTTTCTGCACAGGACTCCGTCCTGGGCTCTCTTCTCTTCTCCCTCTATATTATTTAGCTTGGTGATCTTACCTCCCATAGATTCAACTATCATCTCTCTGAAGATGATTCTTAAATTTGTCCAGTCTCTATCTTCTCTAGTGACCTCCAGTCTCCCTTTTCCAACTGCCTCTCAGACATATTGACCTGGATGCCCTATAGACATCTTAAAAGGAACATTTCCAAAACCTAATTCATTATCTTTCTCCCCAAGCCCTCCCTTCTTCCCACCTTCCCTGTAACTGTCAAGGGCACCGCCAGCCTCCCAGTCACTTGTGCCGACAATCATCCTAGACCCCTTTCACCTTCCCATCTCCGATTGTTGCCAAGGCCTATGATTTACCTCTGTAATTTTCTCTTCTTTCCTCAGATACTGTCAACGTTCTAGTGCAGGCCCTAATCTCTTGGTGCCTGGTTGGTCTACCTGCTACAAGTTTTACTCCACTCCGGTGGAGTAAGCCACTCAGCCGTCAAAGTGATTTTCCTAAAGCACAGGCTGATGAGGCAGAAAGGAGTGCTGGAGGCAGACGGAGCAGACTGGATGCAGGATGTGAGAAATGAGATAGAATGCAGGATATGACCGGCCAGGAAGTGCTCGAGAAGACTATGCATTGAGGCCCCCCACTTTACATTCACAAAGTACCCCAGACTACCTGACAATCCAGAACAGCTGCCCCTCCCCTTTCTTCTTTCCCTAGTTTATCTGCATGCATTCACAAAGACACCCAACTGCCCTGAATCTCAGTTTATCTGCAAAATCGAGGGAGGGTCTAACCTTTTTTTTTTAAGGTCTTTTTGAGATTTAGATTTATTCTCACCTTTCCCCGCAGGGCCCGTGGGGGAGAGAGAAAGATATTCCCTTCTGCAGGCAAGATTGGCCTGGGTTCTGATTGTCCTCTTTGCTAGCTGATGTACTCCAACCTGCCACTAATAGAAAAAGAACCATTATGGCTTTAAGTGAGAATGGGAAATTAGCTAATAGATGTGCAAGAGAAAAGATCTATGGTAATAAAATAATAACCTTTCACATTTCTACATTGCTCTTAGGCTTATCAAGTATTTCATTAAACAAAATTACTAAACAATTGCTAGCGAGATATACACAATTTCAGTGCTTTTTATAATACACAGTAAGTTAACAAGAAAATATTAATATACTGAACTAAGTCCCATAGTTTTCTCCCAATTGGTATGGTGAGTAAAATACCCCTTTGGGAGTAAACTAGGAATTCATATGAAGTTAGTCGCTTCAAAGAGGCAGGCAAATGCAAATGGAATATAAGTCAAATACAGCAAAGCCTTAATTTATCAGAATGCTGACTTAATATTTTTCTGTACTGATTTTTGAGGAGAAAGAGTACTCCACAACAACAACAAATTCATATTAGGCACAGAGCAAAAGCAGCAACATTGAAAAGATGCCTCAAGTTCTGGTCCATAGAGTGAGGATTGATATTCAGAATGATTATTCTAAGGTGACTCAGCACTCATTAGTCATCTAGTTACTGCAGTATTTGGTGATACTCAACATGCTTACTAAAGCAGGGAACATGCTTATTAAGGCAGGGAACATGCTTACTAAGGCAGGAAAAAGTGGAATAACCCTCATATGCTATAGAGAGATTTCCAATAGTATTTAAAACAGAAAAGATTTCTTAGTCCAAAGTCGGTCAGTCAGAACAAACAGGAAATTAACCAAAACGTTCTGGCTTTACTCTGTGCTCTAAGAGACATTGTGCTTTGTCCAGGTGTATGGATAAATCTCAAGACAACTATCCACTCAGGCCTCCTAAGGCAATGGTATCAGTGAAACACCATCTTGGAACATGTTTAATTTGTCTTCAGATCATGATGGGTGATTGTTATAGCATTTTTTTTTCCTACTGGAGAATTAATCAAGATTCTAGGAGCCAGTGGGCTTGTTGAGGCATTTGTTATAACCCATCATCTGACTGGCACACTTAAGCTTCTGGCAATTAGGAACAGATTGGTGGAATTGCTGGAAAATCATAGTGAAGCCTTGAAAAGTATTGTGGTTTTTAATAATTATTTGCTAAGTTTAAGCTCTCCAAAATAAGTCTACCTTGTTTTCCAAAGTTGTCTTTGGAGCAGACAAACTGGTGAATTACAATGATAAGGGAAAACCCTTGTCTCCTCTTTGTACAGCTGAGGGTTATCGTATAGAATGTGATCACATATCCTGTCATGTGTCATTTTGTGAGATTCTTTCTTAGAAGTGGAGAGTGGAATGAGATGAGGCAAGCAAGGAAGGAAACAAGTGTTTGTCAAGAACTAGGTGCCTAGTACTGTGCTAAGTGCTTTGCGAATATCTTTTATTTGACCCTCACAATAACCTAGGAGGTAGGTGCTGTTATTACTCCTATTTCTACAGTTGAAGAAACTGAGGCAGACAGCAGTTCAGTGCTTTGCCCTGTGCCCAGGGTCATACAGCTAGATTTGAACTCAAGTCTTCCTGACTCCAGAGAAGCAGTTAGGTGGTGCAATGGTAGGCCTAGAGTCAGGAAGATTCCTTTTTATGAGTTCAAATCTGGCCTTGATGGAACCTGGACCCCTAAAAGGAAAAGACCACATCTTTGAAAGCAACCCAGGCCTAGAATTTCCCCATACGTGTCAGCAGCTCAAACCACTGGCGCTTCCGCCGGAGGGAACTGGCCCACCCCAGCTCACCTGGATCACCTAATTAGTTTTGAAATTCCTTTCCCAGTCTCACTTGTCCCACCCCAGACTGCTTGTACAACTCCCACTCCCAACTCCCAACCAGATCATCTATTTAGCATACTTGGTAGTCCTTTCACTGTTGTATACCACTCCTTAATTCCATCCAGATCTTTTCAAGGTTTTTTTTTGTATTTATGCATCAGTTCACCCGGATTAAGTTGCAGATTGACTAGGAACACTGCCCACATTCCTATTCTTTAAAATAAACTTTGCTACTGACTGGAAGATGGTTTTGAGTGCTTGAATTTATTCTAGGCGGACACCCCCTTGCACTCTGACATTTCAGGGTTCCCAGCAATTCCAAACCACAGCAGCCTCAGACCCCAGGCAAGTCACTTAACCCTGTTTGCCTCAGTTTCCTCACCTATAAAATGGGCTAGGGAAGGAAATGGCAAACCACTTCAGCATCTTTGCCGAGAAAACCCCAATTGAAATGACTGAATAACAAAGTGTCTTCGGAGAACTTCTGAGAAGCTAGAAATAGTGCCTCCTTCTACTATCTGGACAGAATTCGAGGTAGACAGCCAGCGTCTTATCGCAGACGTGAAGTGACCCAGCGTTTAAGGAAATCTCAAAATTCTAATTTTGAATCTATCTTATTTCAAATTGTGAGGTAGGCCTCCACTTTTACCCTAGTCTGGTTTGAAAGAAAAACCATTCCTCCAGAATGGAAGGTGGAGATGAAGAAGTGGCTAACTAGAAAGTCGTGCCCCAAGGGAAGAAGTAGTTGGTTCACAAAATGATGGAACAGTAAGAGTGACTGACTCTGCCCGGCTCCTCACCCTCTGAGTATTCCGTAACACCTCTGCTATGCTCATTTGTGGAATCTATGCACCCAGCTTAGATAGACCAGTCACTTCTTTCTATGTAAAGATCAGTGTTTTTACTTAGCTAGTCAATGCCCTGCCCTTCTCTCCCCTTTAAAATGAATGACTGTCCTTATGAATCATGAAGAATAAGGAATAGCCAGCTAAGAATAATGGATATGAACTTGAAAAATGTAAACCTGTTTCCTAGGTCTTAGCTGAGAGTCAGGTGAGTAGAATAAAGAACTTCCTCATTAGGATGAATACCTTCCTTTCAGCCTTTTCCCTAAGCTTGTCATTTTGACAGTGTTTTACAATGAGCTCTAGGAGTCCTTTTTAGTTAACAAGTCAGAGCACCAGTTAAAAGATAGTACCACTTCCCCAGGTACTTGCATCCCAAGTAACTACTTCCTACTTCCTGCTTGAACTACCCAAGACTTTGAAAGGACTTCTTTTTGAGGCCAAAGCTGTATGGACAATGAAAATCTAAAAAAATTCCCTTAATGATTAGTAAACACCCCCCCCCCAAACACACAACTACCTTTATACCCTCTCCACAAACTTAGCGATTTTAAGCCCCTGTTTCCTCCCTCTCTCAAAGTCCTACCCCTAAGATATCTACCCCTTCCACTGTGTTCTCTGGAATGCCTGCCTCCACAGGCAACAAACTTGCCTTCATCTTAGATCTTTTCCATTCCTATTCCATCTTCTGGCTTTCACTGAGTCCTGGTTCCCTCTTGATCATACAGCTTCCCTGGCTTCTCTTTCCAGCACTGATTCATTTTCACTTGTTTCCTCTAACTCACTGGTTGAGATGGGGGAGTTAGACATTCCCTTGCTCCCAGTTGCAATTTCCAGATTCTCTCTGTCTACTGGATGCTTCCCTACTGCTTACAAACATGCCCAGTTCTCCCCCATCTTCAAAAGCCTCTCGTTTATTGCTGTTCAGTCGTGTCTAACTTTTGCTGACCCCCATCTGGGATTTTCTTGGCAAAGATCCTGGAGAGGTTTGCCATTTCCTTCTCCAGCTCATTTAATAGATAAGGAAACTGAGGCAAACAGGGTTAAGTAACTTGCCCAGGGTCACCCAGCTAGTAGTATTTGAACTCAGGACTTCCTGACTCTAGGTGTGATGGGGGCAGGGCCCAAGTCAAGATCTTCTCCCTTTGCCCCAAAGGGAATCTGACTCACAGGCCCCAGACCCACATCTCCCTTTGAAAGCCTTAGCCTTACCTTTTAATCTTATTCAGATGAGCCCTAAAAGAATCTGGCTCCCTTTTGTCTATAGGCCCCAGAAAGGCCTTCCTTTATCTCCTTTTGAAAGTCCTAGCCCCACCTTGATTTTGTGCAGATGCCTTTCAAACTTCCATCTTCCTGTTCCCTCCATTATCTATTCCCATTGTCTATTCAATCTCTCTGACCTCCCCAATTAGAATTCTTACCTAGACCCTTTTCCCAACCAGTTTTCTGGCCGCCCAAAGTTACTTAAGTATTTAAGATCCACCTTGGCCCTCATTCAGATGCTGAGAATTTCAGGTCCACAAGGCTGAGAACCTCTCATGCCCGCTCGTCCTTAAGGGTGTCACCCGGTCTATATGTTTCACCACTAATAAACTTTTCCTCTGGCTGAAGATTTGAGTTGAATTCTTTCAGACAGACCACGATCTTGGGGTCCCAGCACCCCCAAACCCCTAGACTTCTAAAGGTGTACCACCTAGGGGTCCTTAAGCATTTACTGATCACTTACTACGTGCTAGGTATAGTGCTAAATGTTTTAGATTTTGTCTCATTTGAGATAATCAGCTACTGTTCATTCATTCGGATGACACAATTATCATTTCATTGCTATTATTCTCAGGTCTACTTATCCTAACCTAATCTCTCTTCTGCCCTTTGCTCTTGCATCTCCAACTACCTATTGGACATCTGCAACTGGATGTCCTATAGACATCTTCAACTCAAAATGTCCAAAACTGAGCTCATTATCTTCCCCCCCCCAACTTCCCCCAACTATCTCGGACCAGGGCCCATCCTCCCAGCCCCCCAGGCTTGCAACCTGGAATCCTTAGTCTCTCTCATCCTCCCTACCCCATACGATGTTACCATGCCTGGTCAATTTTATCTTTGTCACATTTCTCACAAATTCTCTTTTCCTTCTCCGACATTGCCCCTGCCCTGGTGCTAGCCCTAATTTCTTCATGCTTGGACTATGACAATAGTTTCCTGAGTGGTCTGCCTTCCACAAGTCTCTCCCCAGTCTTGTACATCCTCCAGTCAGCAGTCAAAATGATTTTCCTAAAGCACGGGACTGACCACCCCACTTGATAAACTCCAGTGGTTCTCTATTACTTCCCGGATCATATACAAAATCCTGTTCGGCAT